TAGATACTGTTGTGTAGTCTGTGGAGTCAAAGGAAGAGACAAACGGTAATATCCTCTCTGCATCTTGGGTGCTATCGGTATAAATTGAGAGTCAGGTAAGGGAAGTGTGCCCAGAGATACTCTGTACTAAGTGAAGGCGATGAGAGAGGGTCCTCGGAAGGGCAAAAATACTAAGTATATCATGTATCCCCTAGGAATAGACAGGACACCACATGGCATTTTCTCTTCTATTGAGGCCACTGTTCAGGCACGAGGTGTCTTCAATGGCAAACAACAAGAGTGAAAATAAAAGGTTATCTCATGAGAAGTTTATGTGATGTAGCAAAGGCAGACTGATGAGAGAGGAATCAGATGACGGCAATCGAGGCTAGGGGTGAGGGAAAACATTTAGTCAGTATTTAAGCTATATTCAAGCAGCATTCAAGCAATACCTAATTAACATTCAATCTGTATTCAATCAGTCATTCAATCAATTCTCAGTTGGCTAAGTTTTCAGTCCGAGTTAATCAGCACCCAGTCTCTCTTACCATCACTTGCGATCCACATCACCAAGCTAGCATCTCCCTCTAAAAGACTCGAGGATCCGTTTCGACACCCACCCTGGTATACGAGTGCAGATCAGTTAATTCCAACGTGAAGGGTCTTTAAAGAGAGATGGGAAATGATGACATGGTGAAAGTGACCTAGTCGTTTTTTACTTCAAATTCATAATGGAGAAAGCACTGAAGCTAGTAAAGGATCAGGATTTCATTGAGTATTACTTTTACATTTATGAACCAGACAGAAAATTGCACAGCACCTACTCGTTCATTGAGGCAATTGAACAGACCCCGACGAAGTCTAAGAGAGCGTGAGAGAGCTCATATTTATCTCCTCGAGGACCTTCCTAGTGTATCTGATCAGAAGGCAACACAAAACTCTTAGTGTTCAAGCACTGTTATCAGCGAGCGGTGCTCAGCAGTGAACGGCGCTCAGCGTTGTCATGAGTGACTAGTGTTCGAGCGCTGTTATCAGTGAGCGGTGCTCAGGCGCTCAGCGTTGTCAATAGTGACCAGTGCTCGAGCGTTGTTATCAACTGAGCAGCACTCAGCAGTGAACAGTGCTCAGCGTTGTTATCAGTCACCAGTGTTCAAACTCTGTTATCGAGTGAGTAGTATTTCGTGTCGCTATCAAGTGGGCAGTGTTCAATCACTGATCAGTCCGCATACCGTTGGTTCTTCAATCAGTGTTCAATCGGTGATCAATCAATACATAATCAGTGCTCAATCAGTACTCTGTTGGCATCTCGGATGTTAGATATCAGCCAGCAAAACCTCAAATGTTTCCTATCATTAAGAGACCATTGTATAGTAACTCGTTACTCCAACAAACTTCAAGCAATACTCAATCAACAACACCTGGCCGACATGCAATTCATATCCAATAAACACTCGTTATTTTACCCGTGTCAGAAATCATTATCAATTAGACAGTGCGCTTATCCAAGGACACGAGAATCAGTCTGAACGTCGTTCTCCAATCTATGAGTACAGTGCAATCATTCTCAGTCTCGGGGGCTGTTCTATCCAATCTCAACAAAGTTGCTTCTAAGGATGCCTTTCAACATCAGTACGTCAGTGCAAATGGCTTTAAGCAAGGAGATCTGTCAATTTTTGTTGTCCTCATCAGCTTTGCAGGCGATACCGTATATGACCTGAGACCCTATGTGAAGAAAGGAAAAGAGACTCATGAGCACTTTGACTCAGTCTGGACTGCAGCAACTCGGTACATTGAAGAGAGAGAGACAGAGCAAGATGAGAATGAAACGAAGCTGATCCGTAGCTTTGGACCAAAGCACTACTCGGATTATCCCAGACCTCTGGTACCTTTCACTCTCACAGATGGCTCTTGCTGGGTTGATCTGGTTGATCTGGCCAAGAGGTACATCTCTCCTGCAACGATCAATTATGAGGCAGTGACCGAACCTTCCGAGTTCCCACACCCCAGCCGTATCTTCCTACACTATGGGAGGAGTTTTGTGCCATGGTTAACTTTCGTATCGTGGGACTTGGATGGAAGATTTTTGAACTTGCTGGCTATAGGTGGCTCTATATACAGAGACCACAACCTCAGAAAGTACGGGGAAATGGCGCGAGGCACAAGAAACGTACAGCAAAGTGAGAAACTGAGTATGAGATTCAGAGGTATAAGTGAGGACTCTTGACTGGGGTTGGGCGTGTTCCCTACATATGTACTTTTTGAGACGATTATGAGTTCTCATTCTTCCCTCATCTGACCTTGTTATTGCTCGAGTCAGTCAGTCTTGTTTCTTGCATTGCTCTCGCTGATGACTGCTTTCCCTGATGATTCAATCAGATTTCTGAAAAACAGAAATTGCAGAATTGATAAATGCATGACGCTTCAAAACCCCGTGATTATAATTAGCGTCATTCTATGCTGTTCCGAGTCAAAAGAAAAGATTCCTAAGACCGGGGACCGGCGAAGACCTCAATTGAAGGGTCTCGCTCGAAGCCGGACGCACACAACAGGAAGGGATTTTCTTTATTTAATTTAATTTATTTATTGCAAACGACATATAAAATCCTGCGTGACAGCATGTTGGGTTTCCGGTCATCCGAAGGAGCAAAACTGGAAAAAATGCGACACCGTCGCTCCTACCGATTGAATGGTTTGGTGAAGTGTCTGGATTGCAGTGATCTCGGCGGTTTGCCGTTGAGGGTGCGGTGAAAAGTTCATTGAACCTTATCATTTAGAGGAAKGAGAAGTCGTAACAAGGTTTCCGTAGATGAGCCTGCGGAAGGATCATTGACACGTGAACGGCTGATCTTTGGGGTGTGGGACGCTGGCTTGCTCGCCCTTCCGCCGCCCTTTGCTCCCATCCTCCCTGCATCCGCTTTTCTCTTCCGTTTCAGCACCATCYTGGGCTTAGTGCCCAGCTGGTGGCTGGCCTGGCGTAGAGGGGGGCGTGGTGTAGGTCGAGGGTGGGGCGAGTGGGCAGGGTTCGGGGCCTTGTGGCATTGCTCCCCCTTCATCTCGTCTCGCCTCCACAGGTTGTTACCTCGGCCCAGCCCCACTCTCGACTTTTGGTCGGGATGGCGGTTGGTCCAGGCACGGACAGCCCTGTGCGACTGTCCTCGGCCTGCGTGCCCCCGCTCCTTCCCGTCTCAGCTTTGTCTAGACCTCCTTTCCATTCCGGCCTCAACCTCGTGGCTTGTTTGGGGATCGAGGGTCATGGTAGGGGCTCCTGGCGGGGTGTGTTACGGGGTCCTCGGCCCCTCTGTGTTGGCTTCCTTCCCAACGGGCTTCTCCTTTCCGGACAGATCGGCGTCCTTGACACAGTCGAGGTGGTCTGAATCTCGGGGTGGAGGGCCGTTGGGGGAGGGTTTTGGTTGTGAACGGGGCGGTGTCGGGTGGAGGGGGCAGGAGACAATGCTTGCACCCTCGTTGCCCCTCTGCTCCCCGGTGCCCTGCCTGGCCCCCCGAACGGGGGGTCGGACGGGCCCGTTGCAGCGGGCGGTGGCGACGGCTTTGCAACTTCTTATTGATGTATCTGCTCTGATTTGTCGTTGTCCGGGTTGACGGCCCCCATCTGTTCTGGTTGAGGGGTCGGTCCTGTCGGAACRGCACCATATTGTAGAACTCTCGGCAAACGAATATCTTGGCCCTCGCAACGATGAAGAGCGCAACGAAATGCCATACTGAATGTGAATTGCATAAATCCGTGCGCCATCGATACCTTGAACGCACGTGGTGCCCAAGGCTTCTGTCGAGGGCATGCCCGCCTGAGCATCATTGGATTCCTCACGACCTCAGCACCTTCCGTTTCGGAGAGTGGTGGGGTCCGTGGTCGTGGCTTCCCTCGCTTCCCACTTGGAGAGTGTCGATAGCCTAAAGTGGAAGGGAATTGGAGAGCTCCCGAGCGGGCTTGTGGGGGCCGCAGCCGAGAGTGGTGCGTTTTGCTCCGCCCTATTGTTGCCCTCCAAAACCCATTTGTGGGTGGTCGTCTTCGTTTCCCTGAAAACGGCACATAAGGTCATCCCTTCGGTTTGTGTGGTCGCCGCCTTCTGTTCCCTCCCATCGGCTTGAGGTGGCTTGCGGTTGGGGGTGTCGGCCTCGAGCTGTGGAGGTACGTCGGGCCTTGCCTTTTGATCTCATGTCGGGCGGGAGCACCCGCCCAATTTAAGCATATAACTAATCAGAGGAAGGGAAACCAACGAGGATTCCCCTGGTAGGGGCGAGCGAACCGGGAATGGCCCAGACTGAAAATCGGGGGGCTCTCTTGCTCCCTTAATTGTAGTCTTGAGAGGCAACCTCTGCAGCGGGCCGTGTGCAGGTTCCCTGGAAGGGGATGCCGAAGAGGGTGACAGACCCGTCGACCTCTGGACCCTGTTGCGCAACGAGGTGTTGTCCAAGAGTCGGGTTGCTTGGGAATGCAGCCCCAATTGGGTGGTAAGTCCCATCCATGGGCTGCTGTGACCGGCATTGCGGTGGGGAGCGATTGAAACCCCCCACGGGTGGCCGTCACTGCAGTCGAGGACCTTGAGCATGTGCCTCTTTCGGCGGGCCCGTTCGGGTTCCTGCGTGTTCGAGATGCTGGCGAAATTCCCCTATCCTGCCCGTCTTGAAACACGGACCGAGGAGTTGAACGTGCATGCGAGCCGGTGGGTGATTAACCCACGACGCGGAAGAAACCTGAGTAGCGGGAACCCTCTGCGGGTGCACCGTCCGCCAACCATGATCTGCTGTGAGAGGTTTGAGTGTGAGCATGCCCGTTGGGACCCGAAAGATGGTGAACTATGCCTGAGCAGGGCGAGGCCAGAGGAAACTCTGGTGGAGGCTCGCAGCGATACTGACGTGCAAATTGTTCGTCGGACTTGGGTATAGGGGTGAAAGACTAATCGAACCGTCTAGTAGCTGGTTCCCTCCGAAGTTTTCCTCATAATAGCTGGAGTTGTTGAACAATTTTATCACGTAAAGCAAATGATTAGAGGCCTCGGGGGTGAAACACCCTCAACCTATTCTCAAACTTTAAATAGGTAAGATTTCGGGGTTGCTTAAGCGAACCCCGAGGATCAATGAAAGCTCCAAGTGGGCCATTTTTGGTAAGCAGAACTGGCGATGCGGGATGAACCGAAAGTCGAGCTACGGTGCCAAACTGCGCGCTAACCCAGACACCACAAAGGGTGTTGATTGATACAGACAGCAGGACGGTGGTGGTAATGGAAGTCAAAATCCGTTAAGGAGTGTGTAACAACTCACCTGCCGAATCAATCAGCCCYGAAAATGGATGGCGCTGAAGCGCGCAACCTATGCTCGGTCGTCGCGGCGATTTTGATGCCGCGATGAGTAGGAGGGCGCGGGGCATGCTGCGAAGCCTGGAGTGTGAGCCTAGGTGAAGCGGGTCCCGGTGCAGATCTTGGTGGTAGTAACAAATATTCAAATGAGAACTTAAAAGACTGAAGTGGAGAAGAGTTCCATGTGAACAGCACTTGGACATGGGTCAGTCGGCCCTAAGAGATGTGGAAACCTTGTATCAAGGGCGCACTGCGCGCCGCACATCGAAAGGGGGTCGGGTTAATATTCCCGGAATGGTTTGTGGAGGTGGACGGTAACGTAAGGAGCTCCGGAGATGCCGGCAGGGGCCATGGGGAAGGTTCTCTTTCCTTCTTGACGGCTCGCCCACCCTGGAATCGRATCAACCGGAGATAGGGTGCAGCGCCCGGCAAAGCACCGCGCATCCTATGGTGTCCAGCGTGCCCCCGACGACCCTTGAAGATCTGGAGCTGCGGGTACCTCTCACGCTTGGCCGTACTCATAACCACATCAGGTCTCCTAGGTGAGCAGCCTCTGGTCRAAGGAAGAATGTAGGTAAGGGAAATCGGCAAGATGGATCCGTAACCTTGGGAAAAGGATTGGCTCTGAGGGCTGGGCCTAAGGGTCTACTCCTCGATGTCGTTGGCTGCCGGTGGTTTGCCAGAGCTGCTCTCACGGCGAGGGCGGAGCCCGCGTGCCACTGTACCGATGGGCGTAGAACGTCTTATGTTCCCACCGTTCAGGTGGGGCCATGGGAATCTCCCTAAGCATCAAACTGCCGACTCAGAACTGGTGCGGACAAGGCGAATCCGGCTGTTTAATTAAAACAAAGCATTGCAATGGTCCCAACGGATATTGACGCAATGTGATTTCGGCCCAGTGCTCTGAATGTCAAAGTGAAGAGATTCAACCAAGCGCGGGTAAACGGCGGGAGTAACTTTGACTCTCTTAAGGTAGCCAAATGCCTCGTCATCTAATTAGTGACGCGCATGAATGGATTAACGAGATTCCCACTGTCCCTATCTACCATCCTGCGAAACCACAGCCAAGGGAACGGGCTTGGAAGAATCGGC